CACTCTACCCCATAGCCCAGACATATGAAGAATATGGGAGATTGTTGTCACATGTACCACGCAGCCAGTACTTGCCAGATATTCCTGCAGTCCTCTAATGTTGCTGCAGGCCTCTTGGCAGCCTCCCAGACCAGTTCTCTTCTGTTTTTTTCATCAATTTTGGAGGGAAGTCCAGTTCTTGGTAATGTCACTGTTGCACCATATTTTTCTCCACTTAATGATGACTGTCTTCACTGTGTTCATGGTATATCTATCGAATGCCTTGAAAATTCTTTTGTACCCTTCTCCTGACTGATACCTTTTAACAATGAGATCCCTCTGATGCTTTGGAAGCTCTCTGCAGACCATGGCTTTTGCTGTAGGATGCGACTAAGAAAATGTCAGGAAAGACCTACTAGAACAGCTGGACTTTATTTGGGGTTAATCAGAGGCACTTTAAATGATGGCAGGTGTGTACTAACTCCTATTTAACATGATTCTGAATGTGATGGCTTAATTATGAACACACAGCTAAATCCCCAGTTATAAGAGGGTGTGCACACTTATGCAACCACATTTTAGTTTTTTTAAATTTACTCCTCCCCATCTTTGATGGATGGATTTGGAGGATCTTTGTCATATTGAAGAGGATAGAATAGAAAAATTTAGGAAAACGTGGAGTAGCTGGTTAATTTTTAAACCATCTAAAAGATATTTGGAACATAGGGGGAAGAGTATAAGAAAGAGCCCTAACGGAGTACCCAATCGAACACCTATGGGGAATTCTGAAGAGACAAGTTGAATATCACTCTCCATTCAGGCTCTAAAAGGGGTCATTCTTGAAAAATGGAAAAAGATAGATGTTGCAATATGTCACCAACTTGTTCATTCCATGCCTAGAAGACTTGGTGCTGTCCTTACAAATTATATACAAACACACGTCCTTGTGGCACTCTGCCCCATTGGCTCATTATCTCCCTGCCTATAGATTCAGAGTAAGAGAGAAATGCTTCCACACTTGATTATGCCAAGCACATCCGGCACACCCTGTGCGCATGCCTTTGCTGATAGAAGAGTTGACCAGATCAGAAGTCTAAACACCAGATTTAGAAATACCTAGATCTATTGGCTAAAAGTTAAACTCACAGCCGAAAACAAAAAACACATGATGACAGACCTTTCACTCCCCACACACAGGCAGCTGACCTAGATCCATAGACCCATTACTCTTATACAAACTACTGTATCATTCTTTGGTATTTAACCACAACCTGTATACAAGGGAGGGGGGGGCATTCCTGACTGACAGATTTCCCAATTCTCCTTTTCCAACTTCTGCCTTTCTGGTTTAGTCTTTCTTGTCACTGGACTAAATATATACTGATAGGGTGACTTATTTATCATACATTTGTCTGGGGTCCTTGTGAAATTCAGCTCTGGAGTTTTCAGATGCCTTTGAAATGAAAGGTACCTGAACAAGCAAATGCGTGTTTTCACATTTTCACCAAGCCCATGATTTGAAACGCCTAAGTGTGAATAGAGCCTTAGGGTCATTGTCCTACTGCATCATCCAACTTCTGTTTTCCCAGTAGCACTGTTTGCCAAGTGTTGGTAAACTTCAGGCATGCAGCAATGGTTTTTTTTTTTTTTTTTTTTTTTTAGGAGCGGCCACTTCCTCTGATGTTCTGCCATGGACACCCTGCCTGTTCAAAGACCTACTGTATGTATGGTAGAATATTGAACAGGGATTTTGCCAGTTCCAATGATGTTGTCAAGCCTTTAGCTTTGAGATTGCTTTTAACCCCTTTCCAGTCATATGTAGATCAATTACTTGTTTGTATGTCTTCAGAAAGCTCCTTTTTGTGAGGCATGGTTCACATCAGCTGATGCTTCCTATGAACAGCAATCTCACAATGTTTGAGGGGTTTACGAAAACTGGAGAGTGCAAAATCTGATGCAGCTGTGCATGGTAGCCAATCCACTTCTAATTTCAGCTTTTTCAATTAAGCTTTCACAAAAAACCTGGAAGCTGATTGGTTGCTATGCAGAGCTGCACCAGAATTAGTTTTAATAAATCAACCCCCAAGTGTGAAAACTAAGTCCAACTATGGGTTCACTTTTTTTCTTCCAAAACTATGAATGTTTAATGGGTGTGTTCAATTAAATCCTGAAAATAGAATTGTTTGTGTTTTATCAGCTTAAGCACATTGTCTATTGTTGTTCAAAGGGGTTCCCGTATTTTTTTATTGCTATTTTGGCACAGGCATTAGGCAGGCCATACACTTTATTTTCAAAGTTCGTATGATTCGTAAAAAAAATTCTCAGTACTTTCAATGACCTGGCAAATGTCGCTTAAAGTACTTCTACATTTTGGAAAGAGAGGTTCCCCAAACAAAACTGCGCTGTAATAATTTTGTTGAGGGAAAATTCTGCATCCTGCTCCTTCGAATTTTCTCATTACTATGGTCGAAAAATTATTATGGATTTGATCCCACTAAAGATTGGCAAGTTGAACAAATGTTCTCAAAACAAAACTCTGAACAAAATTCAATTAGTGTAGATCTATACACAGTTTCTTCATACTTCATTAAAGCACAAAAACAAATATGAAAGAATAGAACCTGCACATGGGAATGTGTGGTTTCTATGCAATAATGCCCTGGGCAGATGTGCAGATATGGGGGAAAAACAAAAATAAAGTAATACAAGTGGTTTTTCTTCTGATCTTTTGAAGATCATTCATGGGAACACCATTCTTCTACAGACAGCAAATGTTTTCACTGCTTGCTTCATGACTTTCTCTCATGTAAACATGACTTCAGATGCACAACTTAATTTTGGGAGCATTCATAATTGGCCAGCCAAGTGTTTTGAATGTACAGTTGTGTTCAAAATAATAGCAGTGAGTTGAAAAAAGTGAATAAAGCTCAAAAGCCTTCTAATAGCTTTTATTTCCATACACACAAATGCATTGGGAACACTACACATTCTATTCCAAATCAAAACATGAAGAAAAATCTATCAAATTTGTGTTGTTCCTCTAAAAAAAATTAAAGAAAAGTGATTAGACTGAAAAAAATAGCAGTGTTTGTATTCTTCTTTACAAACTCAAACATTCACTATATAAACTGAAAAATGTTTGAAGATTTTGCTTTCCTTTGAATCACTTAATATTTAGTTGTATAAGCACTGTTTCTGAGAACTGCTGTACATCTGTGTTGCATGGAGTCAACCAACTTCTGGCACCTGTGAACAGGTATTCCAGCCCAGGATGATTGGACTACATTCCACAGTTCTTCTCTATTTCTTGGTTTTACCTCAGAAACTGCATTTTTGATGTCACCCCACAATTTTTCTATTGGATTAAGGTCCAGGGATTGGGCTGGCCACTCCAGAACGTCAATCTTGTTGGTCTGGAACCAAGATGTTGCACGTTTTACTGGTGTGTTTGGGGTCGTTGTCTTGTTGGAACACCCATTTCAAGGGCATTTCCTCTTCAGCATAAGGCAGCATGACCTCTTCAAGTATTCTGATGTATTCAAACTGATCCATGATCCCTGGTATGCGATAAATAGACCCAACACCGTAGTATGAGAAACATCCCCATATCATGATGCTTGCGCAACCATGCTTCACTGTCTTCAAGTGTACTGTGGCTTGAATTCAGTGTTTGGGGGTCGTCTGACAAACTGTCTCCGGCCACTAGACCCAAAAAGAACAATCTTACTTTCATCAGTCCACAAAATGTTGCGCCATTTCTCTTTAGGCCAGTCAATGTGCTCTTTGGCAAATTGTAACCTCTTCAGCATGTCTTTTTTTCAACAGTGGGACTTTGCGGGGGCTTCTTGCAGATAGCTTGGCTTCACATAGGCGTCTTCTAATTGTAACAGTACTCACAGGTAACTTTAGACCTTCTTTGATCTTCCTTTGATCTTCCTGGAGCTGATTGTTGCCATTTTGGCTATTCTTCTATCCATTCGAATGGTAGTTTTTCACTTTCTTCCACGTCTTTCAGGTTTTGGTTGCCATTTTAAAGCATTTGCGATCATTTTAGCTGAGCAGCCTATCATTTTCTGCACTTCTTTATATGTTTTCCCCTCTCCAATCAACTTTTTAATTAAGGTACGCTGTTCTTCTAAACAATGTCTGGAACGACCCATTTGTAACCAGCATGTACAACATTTGCTGCCTTCCTTCCTTAAATAAGGGCAATAATTGCCACCTGTTTTTCAAAGAATGAATGACCTCACTAATAGAACTCCACACTGCTATTATTTTGAACATGCCCCTTTCAATTAGTGATTCAATTACACAGAATCAGCAGCATGCATGTCATGACTGTTGGGTCTGTTGGATTTCTATTACTCTACTACACCTGCTAGTAAATTATTTGCCATGTAGAAATATAATTTCTATCAAAAACAGTGATTGATCAGGTTAGTGATGTCTGACTGCTATTATTTTGAACACAACTGTATATATCAGATTTTCTTGAGAAATGAAAAACACTTTGATAACTATTTATTTTTGTGCACCTTTTCACACTTCGTTTACCTTCATACGTATTTCTTTTTTATAATCGCTTGATTTTCCACTTGCCAAACTTAATTATTAAAGTAGTATGGCCAAAGCTTTTTTGGCCATACTTCTCTTCTGGGTCACAAGAGTGCACTTAGTTCTGACCCTGATTCAGCTGACAGTGGCTAAAGCTGCTGTCGACTGATATTGCAAAGTCAGTCCAGGCTCTGCAGTGATCCTGACAATAACGTGGGGATCCACCCAGATGCCTGGCTCAGTCTCTCAGCGGGCCACTGAGAGCCTGAACCAGCACTCCTGCCCCCACCACAGCCCAATGCTCCGGTGAGCTGGAGGGACAGAGTAGACAGCAGGTGAGTTACAGTCCACTGCTCTCTGCTCAGTGAAGATCGAGAACTGAGGGGATCAATATTGTAGACACAGAGTATGATTTTTTTTTTTTTATCCAACACTCTTTTAATATATGTAAAATTTATATTATTTACCTGATCCAAACTGGCTGGCAAGTGTCGTTGGTCTGCTCTTTCCATTATTCACAGGCAAAGGGAACATCTGAAAAATAAAATGTGAACATAGCTCATGAAACACATCATCCATATTATTGAATTAAATTGTACAAACACATGAAAGTGACCAAGTCCTTATGCAAAGAAATACAGAAAATATACTGACATTTGTATCCTAGCACTAATCTCTATTAGTTAATACTTGCATTTCTGAAAGCCACCAAATTCTTGTCCTCCATTGGGATAGAGTTTCAGGATACTGCAGGTCCAAGATTCGCAGTCCTGGCAAATGTATGTGAAAATGTACTTGAAATAATTTTTTTTTTCCCAGCCACAAGGCACTGCATGGCCTTTGGACAATGGCCAGAAGGCTTAGGAGGGCCAAAAAGGGGACTTTTGAATACGACACTATAAAAAGGGGGGGCACAGAACAGCCATATTGTTGATGTATTGGAAGCTGCAGTAGGGAATAAGGAAAGCTGACAAACTGCATAGGGAGGCATTCGGGTCAGTGAGGTACCTCTACTTTTCTGCTTGCTAGCACTTTGGGTGGTCAACCCATTTGCTGCCTTTTTGTTCTCGCTATTGAGGGCCTTGTGTTTTTAACTGGTTGATCTGAGGTCAGCTGTCACATTTAGATGCTGTCATGTCCATTTTTTTTTTTCGCTGCTTTCCAATTTAACTCTGCTGTATCCTCTGCAGTATCTTTATTCTTGTAGAAAAACCCCAACCTGTGCTTCTTCTCTCTAGTAAACGTGGGCCCAGCCTTACTCATAAAATTGCCCTGCTGCTGAACAATTTTACACTGCTGTATCATTTAGTCTCTTAATTCTTACAGGTCATTCACACAGGCACAGGAAGCTGCACACTGTAAAAAACAAAACAATTCTGCACCCAGGAGTCACAGGTGTTTGGACGCAGAGACTCTTTGGGTCCAAGGCCACTCATCCATCCCTTTGCACATTTAAACGTTTCGATGTGAATTTACCAGTGTACACCCACAGCCGGACTTTGATTTGTACAGGCTGCTGCCAGACACTGTATGTAAGCACCTGTATTCTTGAGCACAGAAATATACGCATCTATCGTATGTGCGGTCCTCTGTGGCAGCATGAATGTGCCCTCATAGTAAAACAGTTGCCTGTAATTTGTCATCAGCACATGTTTTTTTTTTTTTTTTTTTTTTTTTTTTTTTTTTTTGAGCTAATTCTTCATCATTAAAAATGTTTGGCTGCTGAGAATATTTTACACTGATGTATTATCTATGGTCTTAACTCCTAATAACCGTTTTAGATCAGCAAGGACAGGGGCAAGTCTGAGCAAACTACTGGCCAAGTTTATCTGCTAGTCAAATTCAGCATATAACCACTTGAAGTAAATGCACGTGTCAGTGCGAAAATTTTGCACTGCCAGTGCACGCAGTACCTGAAACTAATTGTGTATTATCAAGGTTTCCCTTGAAGTCACATGAAAAGATCCCCCTCCCAGCTGTATAGTACTTTTTAAAAATTCTATTTTCAATAGCAAGTCCCCCATGGCAGTGTCCAGCTGTTTCATGATTTAAGGTCCCAACTTGTAACATGGTGCCTGTTTTTACATTGTCCATGCTAAGCACATTTCAGACTCAAGTTATAATTTTCTGAGGAGGTGGAGAATGCCCATTATAGATGGTCACTAAAAACAGTTTAAATTTTGAGTCACAAGGAACAAGGGATATTCTATCAAGACAACGACATGAAAACCACATTAAACACCCTGCCAACAATCTGATTACATTGGGATAAGAACATGCTAAACACACGGTCAGGGACACGCTATCCACGTGGAATTCTAAAACCATAAAGTAGTAGCACATGGCATTCTCTACATATATAGTACTCTCGTGGGGATATGCTACACGCTAGAGAACTGGCTCATCCACATGTGATCCCTGGGATGTAAAGCAACAGATTTTTTTTTTTTTTTATTTAAATTTAAAAACCCTTGCAGCATAGCTGAACTTCAGTTTTAGCTAAACACAGACCAAATTCAATAGCAACAAAATACTTCTGAAATATTTCCAAATTTTAAGTGTACAGTGCCCAATACGTTCACTGACTGATGGTGGTTTGCGTTTTGCACAGAACACCAATTCTTTAACTAAACCCAACAATAAAAACTATATATATTTCAGTTTGCTGATCCATAGGTATGGTGACTGCATTAGTTTCCATGTTATAAGTCTAGAGCAATGTCTGCTAGTACAGAAAATACCAAATGATCTTGCAGAAGTGCAATGTCTGTCACTCTTTGCGAGCTGAACTGAAAGGAAAAAAAAAAAAGGGAAAAACAAAACAAAACAAAAAAAAACCCCAAACAAACCTCATCTTCCTTCTGTAAACCACAAATGCTCAAATCCCACATAATGGAAATGAACCATAGCAAACAGTGTAACTGCTCAGGGACAGAAAGTATACCATTTGCATGATTGCCAGGTGAAAAAAGCAGAAAAAAAAAAAAGGCTGGGGGAAGAAATGCTGCACACTCCACCACCAAGGACTGGTAAGCTACCATATATTACATTTTTGTTTTTGGATTCAGATACACTTCAAGGGAACAGTTTCGTTGGCATTAGTTCCTGAACTTGCACAGATGTGTGGTGCAGACCAAAAGACCTGTATTTTACACCATAAAAAGTGAGTTCAGATGTTCTGAGCAGGCTTGCAGATCAATTCATAGATACAGTTATCGATCATCTAATTTAGAGAAGGATGCTAGCCATGGTCCCATCTGGAGGATCAGACTGTGCGAATTCCAAAATAGCTACTTAAGTAACCAAGGAGTAAAGATAACGTCTTATCTTAATAATCAGCACAATCTCAGGGGCTGCAAAATACATCAGTGTAAATAATCGTTTCATACTATGTTGAACAACATAGTAAGATTTGAAAGCCCCAATTCCTCTGGGGACATGCTGGGCAAGGACATGGTAAGAACAAGATCAATATGCTGGGGACAAGCTGGGTAGATGGGATCTTTCCTAGTCACGTGCAGAAAAGAGAATTATTGCAATAGAGAAGTCCCACCACATAATCTTCTTAAACTACAGGCTATAATGCTGCCATATTAAAGGCACTCCCCCCCAAATATGTTTGTTTTTTTTTTTAATTTCTACATGTTTGCTGTTCAGTGGGAAATTGCTAGTGTATAGTGAAGAGTGACACAATAGAACTAATCCTAAAAGTAAAAGTAAACCCTAATATACTTCTCCTTTATACTCCTTTGGTCTGCTGAAAAGTAATTTAAAATAGGAGCGAGCAAAGAAAAAAAAAAAAAGAAAAAAAAATTACATTTTACACTAATAACAGCTACCAGAGGCAAAGAGCATAGAAATTATCAGTTCACTTTGCTCATAGTTTACTCTTGACTATAGAACACCTCCAATGTCATAGGGAAGAAAGGTGGAGGTGTTCTGTAGTCCTAACTCACTTCCTGTTAAAAGGTGACAGCACTGCTCCTCCAGTGAGCACTGTCACTCTGGTGGTGGACTAAACTTTTGGATGGGAGACTACTTAGTTAGTGCCCTTGTAGCCACCTGCAAGTGAAAACTAAAATCCCCCTTGTGATGGAGGGAAGAGCAGAATCAGTGTTTTTGTTGGCCAAATCAGGAGAGCAGCCTGGTTGACAGCCATGGCTCCCTCCATAGATACATTGGAGAACTAAACAGCCACCCCAAGAGTTCACACAGACATGCTTTGAGATTTTCTAAACCAAAGACACCCATTATTGTGCCTATTATGTTAAGAGGTGTTTTACACATGGTTTTGGTGTGTTTCCATTGCATTGAATAAAGCTTTCCAGATGCCTCCTCTGTGTTGGTTTTCTATAGTATGGATTATTGTACTTATCAGCTAGAAACACTTTCTACACGTCTCAAATATACTGTAAATGCCACAGAGGCATTGGTGAGGCTTTAATAACAGAATTAAAAAAAAAAAAAAAAAGACAGATGAAATACCTGCTTTTGACACTAGTGTAAAACTTGGCCTTAGATACAAAGCGTGTAAATTGCAGATTACCGTGTAAAAACAAAACATAAAAAAAATCCCAAACAGCCACCACATCTAAGGAATGACGAGTTGCAATATATGCATTTTGTGGGTTTAGGTGTGCTTGAATTTTACAATCTTTGGAGAATAAGAACCAAAAAAGGAAAAACAAATCCCTTACTCGTCCTGTAAAACAGGCAATCTCAGTCCTCATCTTGTCCACATGCTTTATAGACCAGGTTTAGCCATGAAATGAGTACACAAATGAGGGACTTTTGGTTAAAAGAAACAAAGTTTACTCTGTACACAAACTCCTACACACAAGAAAGATCACCTTCCTTAAACATGCAACATAAGATAATGCAACAAATCCCCCACTACTGTGCAACTATCAGCTTATGATGACAGGTGAAAGAGGTTGTGAAAAAAAGGTGGAGACACTCCATTTCCCTTTCACTGGTGTGAGAAGGGAACTGTTCATCAACTGAAGAAAAAAAATCTCTTCTCATTTATGACTGTCAGGAAAGTGAGAAGCTTAGTTTTCCTAAAAGGATGGCAAATGGGGATGTGAGAAAAATGTCCAGGACACATCTGAGATGGCTTTGATGTTATCTATGTCAATGCAGGCTCTTGGACAAAACAGTGAGTTTTTAAGACAGCCTCATAAATGTGCATATTTTCTTACTACACAACTGATTACATTCATATGAAAGCATAGTATAGTCTTACTGCCCGGTGACACCGCTGTAATTTCAGGTGAGATATGAAAATTAAAAATCGAAACTAATGGATGTGAATGTCGGTGTCTTAACATGTGCAATTTGCTGTAGCGCTATTTCTAAAGTAGTTCTTGTAATACTTTTTCTGCAGTTTTTTTCACATACATAGAATATAATGGAAATCGCACTGCAAATTGCAAGAAATAGTTGAAAATCTTCACAAGTAGCAATAAATAAAGTCTTCAGAAATCACACATGAAATCCTGCCGATATTGCACTCAAATCGCAAGATTTTAAATTGCAGCAGTGTGACGGATGACTTGCTATG